ATTGTCCAACCTAATAAAACGAAACGATAAGAACACGATAATCGGGGTAAAAGGGCCAATCTCGAGAGCCTCAGCTCCCCCAAAGAGCTCCTCGAACGTGTCCACCTTCGCGCCGATATTTATACAAGCGAGTACATAAAAACTCCGGAGTACGATTACCTTATTTACGAACGTCGGTAACATCTGTCCTTTCGACTTCCACTTTCTTCGCACAGCTACACAGAGCTCGCGAGATTAGCGCATTCGAGTGGTTATCCCCATAGCTGACAATCTCGAGATCAAAATTAACCGCGATACCGAGAATTACTCGATCGTTCGATTCCTCCATCTTGCCTCTCGCGCCTTCCTCAGCGACATCTCGCGTTCCGCCGAAAATACGCGGCGTATTAAGAAAGAGACACGAACATGGCGGAGAGGCAACCGGGATCGTTACTTCAATTAGACCCAGTGACGCAGATTAGCGATATGAATTCGTTCTAAATTTAACCCCTTGCACTCGGCCACTTTTTCGTGACGGAAAAATAGTAATTCGAAGACTTTCTGCCATAATGTCGACGATATTTTTAAAACGGTAAAGAATCATTCTACTTCGACTTACTATTGCACACACCTTAGGGTAATTTTAAATTCGATATATTAATTAACGTGGATCCGAAACGATTCACGAAAAATTCCACGTTTACAACGTATTCCGCGAATTTGTAAGGAGGATCTGTGAAGATTTCTATCTCCATCGAAAAATTCTCGATTGGTGTATCATTGGCAGTACGAATCCATGACGAGTGTAATGACAACGATGATAGAAAATGCAGATAGAAATGAGAAATTTTCTTAATCCTTTCGTTTCGAATGCCAGAAATATAGACGGCGTCCACGCGATGACTGCTGGGTACAGGCACCTCATATATCTGGCATCCAAATGATGTATATACAAGTACGATCTGTATACGATTGTTGTATTCAAACAATGGTTGCTATTTAACCCTTTGGACTCGAAGATTTCGTCGTTGTGAAGATGCAATTCGAAGCTCTGTTTAGATTTTTGCAAGTCACTGATACTCTTTATGCTAAAATTGAAAAAAGAAAATTGTGAACTTGCGTGAGAAACGAACGAACAAAATAATTCTATTTCGATGTCCTTAATATAATTATCATCACTCATTATTAAAACAAACGGTGACTGAGAGTCACCTCTCGAGTGCAAAGGGTTAAGACTTAGAAAAACGTACAGAAATATACAGAATATACAGAAATCACACGCAGTGTGCATATTTCTGACACACGTTTCTGTTCAGTGACAGTGCTTTGGCGAATTGCACTGCCGAAACGAAAGAGTTAAGAATACGATTAAATGGCGACTGAGGGTGCAAAGGGTTAACCCTGCCACTGTCGCCATAGTCATTTTCGCCCATAGCTGACAATAATGACATAAAACAGTCCTCCACTTAACGCGAGGGTCCTAGGACCGCAACAACGGGCACATATTTGTGTTTCTCGACCATAGTACACATTTATGCGTTCCTGGGACCTATCACTTGTTTTCCTCCAACACATATATGCATTCTTAAGCCAAACTGATGGCTTCCACAAAACGCACATAGGTTTCCAAACATTCGCAAAGGGTTAATGCACGTGTTGTCCGTTACCTCCGCGAGAGACGGTTCCTCGAGGGTGCCCACCGCGAATTTTTCCGTCCAAAATTGAAACCCCAAAATTATTCTCGCGACGAGGATATTCCCGATTTTCCTCACAAAGGCGTTGTACTCGCGCGAGCAAAGATATATCGCGAATTCCACCTGCGAGTGTCCCGATCGAGGAAATTCGAATGGAGACCTCGCGCAGATGGGGACGTCAGCCTGGTCCTCGAGGAACTTCCGTTTAGTTCAACTTGGAGGCGAAATTCGAACGGCTCTCCGACTGGGAATCGAGGTGCACAGCGAAAGTCGGTGTCGAACACACCTGAACGCGCTTTACGGTTATTAATGATAAGTTTACACGCTGTGCGTGTCGCACGTATTTATGGCCGGCAGTTTCCTCGACGAGCGCAACCGCTTGTTACATCATCGGCGCAGCGCAAATGCCAACCGCGCTGATATTAGCCGCAATAAGAGAATCGGACGTCAATTAACGAGTTATTGTTTACCAGACGATCAGCGCGGGAGAAACGGGAGGAAAATGGAGAGAGGAGAAATATATGGAAGAGATCGACGACCGAAACTAGGCTTCGCGAACGATGGAACAAAGTATATGCGAGAGCTTATCGTCGATTTTTAGCCTGGCTATGACATAATTACGATAAGCACAGCGCCGCGCACACGCTCTTCGAGAAAGTGGCGTTTGATGATTCAACCTCCCTCTCTGTCCTCATCCCTCTCCGAGTGTTGCCCAGAAATTGAATCCTGCGATTACGATACTACTCCTATGTGGTGTCATAAACGATGCGCGCGGAGCGTCGCGATGATTAACGTGCAAAGATGACGGGCAACGGGAATTCGAAAGAAAAGTGTGTCAACGATAAAACAACAACCGTGACTAAAGTGCTTGCTTGTTTATTTAACTCTGTTATAAGTGGAGTAATACTCATAGATAATAGACCATTAATTTTTATCGGCACTTAAACAATATGATACGCAAACGATTCCACTGCGCGCCCCGTGTGCTTCGCTTACAGACGACATTATCGATTGCTACTCCGAATTGTCGGTCGCGTGAAAAATTGCTCCCTTTCAAACGCGTTATTTTATCCTGCTAGATAAACTGCCTCGCTCCGTGCACACTTCACGCGACCGCTTTCGTGTACAAAGTTGTACGACAATGTCTGTCAATGGACAACCACGGAAGAGAAATACGCTAATTTATTTGCCAGACATTGCCAACCCCGAGTCTGAATCCGAATTCGGCACTTCGGGAAATTTCCAGGATTCGATGATGATCATTGTCGGTCCAGAAACACGAAGAGGATCGACAGTATGGCGTTGTGCGAAAAGGAAGAATTTAGGGGGTAAAAAGGGGGCGCTCGAATCGCGATTTCGAAGACGCGTCGTGACCGCAGAGCATGCAACGGGGCACATCGTGGCAAAAAGCTGGTCGATGGTAAGACGAGATAATTATTCTAGCCGGGCGCAAGCTCTTCGATCATTTCGGAACGTTGCTTTAGGCGTGGCAACACATGTTCTCAGCTCGGCGCTATGCACAGTGCATAGGTATGCAACGTACACCTATATGCAACATGTCAGGACACGTGGTACCGAATCTCTCAGGCTTGCCAACGGCTATCCATTTTCGCAACGAACAAGATCCCACGCTACAAATTATCCGTTGCGGTCATGGAACCGAAATGAATCGGTGCAGCGACTAATTGCGCTTCCCACTCGTCGCCATTTTCGCGGATAACTCATTTAAAACCGCGCGCGCGAGGAAATTCGAAAATTCCACGCGTGCCACGTATCAAGTTCGCGTTTCTCGCGGGCGGTTTCCACCACAGCGCCATCTCTGCGTCTCGCGTTCCTCGCGTGCACATTTATCCTGTTCGCGATTTCGCGGATAACACACGGTGTCACGATTGTCATCTCCCGAATGATTTGCGAAAGCTTGTTCACGCCTCTGATCGAGGTGTTCGATTTAGATAGACGAGATAAGGAGAGTGCATTAAGAAATTGATTTCACGACGCACGAAATTCGAGCGCCATATTACGTGCCGAAATTGCCGCAGCGCCACCTCTGTGCGCCGCGAGTCCCACGCAACTCGTCACAAGCTCGCTCTGCTTTCCTTCTTTTCCCAAATTCCCGTACTTGGAAAGCACGCCGCGATAACGCTAATTTCGCGCTAATTCCTCGAGCATTTTCTACGCTAATATCCGGAGAGATCATAACCGGGTAATTTCGGTGTGATAAAGACATTAAGATCGGGGAAATCCCGAGGAGAAGTTGAAAACGTATGCAATTTCGTTAATAGCCTCCGCCAACGAAATCAAGCAACGCTCGTAACTCCGAAAGGGGGAGGGGGGACGAAGAGAGCCAGCTTCCTCGACAGCTCGTAAAGGCGCATCCGCAACGGCAGGGACGATATCCGCTTTCGCGGTGAATAGTGAACGCGCATAAACGATTCGCTGGCCGGTTAGCCTGGCGAGTCACACACGAGAAGAAACAGATAGACACAAATAGGTGAGGCTTTTGACCGCTGAATACATTTGACTTTCAAACGGTTGAAATTATATCCGGATTCATACATCTACCCGCTCAACGACAACGACTATGCCTCGCGAACCGTGTACTTGCCGTTTCTTTCAGACGTCCGGCGTTTAACGTTGAAATATACGCGCACTTGTCACGAATATTTCAATACAGCCATTTTTCCAATTACTCTGGTTATCGAGTGGCGAACGGCTTTGCTTTGCGATTTAACTCGTCGATACTCGTAATTTCGCGGATAAAAATGCAGCCAGGTAAATTGCCTTGTAGTCGATCAAATATCGTATTGCACAACGACGTGTGACGATAGCCTCGACGTAGGCAACGGGATTTTCGATCGATGGTTTCGCGATGGAGCGATTAGATGCCAATGACGTCACAGATAAAGAGGAAAAATAAAAACGTTCGTTACTCGCTACGTTTCTTATTATAATGCAAACGATTAAAATAGTTTGTAAACATGTTTTGCTTCTGTCCTCCCACTAACTTTTCCCACTGCCACGCGAATTACGCACGTTTTCTATTACGTTTCCGTGACACACACGTTCGTTCCACGGAACGAAAACCGCGCGAGATTCGAAAAAATACCCTCGATCGGTATCGAACGGCGAGGTAACGCGGTCCACGAACCGGCCGATAGATTTCAGTTACGTCGCGCTGATTGATGTCGTCGAAAGACATCGATTCGAAGGTACATCCATCACCGTGAGATAATCGTGTCACTCGGCCGCATCGCGAAACTACGCGTGTAAAAAGGGATAGATTCCGAGGGGAAAATGCGAGTAAGCGGGAATGCGACGAGGGCTCACCTGTAGATTTGGTGATCCTCGAAAAGAGAACTGTGACATGATGTGTCGGCCACTCAGGGCCGTGATGGTCGGGCGCCGCTACGCGATCATCCTTCCAAACCGTGGCATCTGTCGCAGTCTCACCCAGTCACGGAGCAACAAATATCGGATCACTTTTGTCTTTTTCCCTCCGTATCCCTTTTCAAGAATTTCCTGTTTTCACCACGTGGCACGACACGGGGAGGAAAAAAGAGTCGCAATGATGCAATAGTTGGTCGGAGAACCAGAGCGAGTCACAAACGACGAAAGAGCGGAAAAAAAACCGGAGAGAAATTTTTCACTGTAGATGCGTGAACTCGCGCACGTTTTATTGCACTGTCTAGTACCCGACTGTACTCGACCCTGAAGGCGGTCTCCGGTCGTATACACTCGCACTGTCACAGACGCAGGCACAAAGAGGCAGGGACCAGTTTTCCGACCTCCGACCACAACGCAGTCGTGTAGATGACACTGTCGGCTTCGGGACTCGTTCACGACCAGCACAGACCGACGATGACAACCGTAAGTCAACGAGAGAGAACAGTTCACACTAGTCACTGCTGCATACCGACCGAGATCGAGGCGATCGTTTTGTCCAGACTGCAGAGATGACGCGACACGAGCCGAAACCGGCAAACCGTAAACTAATTACGACGATACGAACACGCCACACGATTGCGCGTATTATACGTGCCCCGGTGGATGATTCTCTAACTCACGCCGTTGATCCGATCGACGCGCCAGCTATGATCGGTCGCGACTATCCTCCGAATCGTCGTTTCTTTTCGACGGAATCCAGTCCTCCGCTCAGCGGTTAGGAAGGCGGAGGTACATAAGTGCGAGTGCGAAGAAGAAAGCGCGATGTAGAGAGAGAGGAAATGAGAAAGCGAGACGGAATAGAGGGAGGAGCGAGCGAGAGGAAGCGCTAGAGGGACGGACAAGAGGCGAAACGAGAGATAGAGAGGGAGAGAGTGGTAGGTCGAGAACTCGAGCGATGGTGACGGAGAGACGTTCGTGAAAAAGGAAAGGCGAGGATCGACTTGTTCGCGCACACCGCTCTCCTTTTTTTCCTTCCACGCTCGCGTAGAATCCGTCCACGCACGGTGGTGAATAATCGTTTCGCACCCCGTGCAATCACGGCACCTCGATAATTTTATTTCTTCTCCGTTCTTTTTTTTTTGTTCCTTTCGTCTTTCTCCTTTTTTTCTTTTTTCCTTTTTTTATAAATCGAAAATTCGTCGATCGGAACTTTCTTCAGTCACACGAATGGTACACAGGTCGGTATCACTAAAGCCGTGCGCGCACTCTAAACAAGTAACTAGAAACTGGCAGAGCTCACACGTGTATAACGCCTCGGCACTTCTGTCTTCGCCTCTGCGTGATCCGCGTACGTGTGCGTCCACATGTATGTATATGTTTTCACTCGTGTTTAGAGGGGGTACAAGGAGGGCGCGTGTCCATGCCACGACTCTTCCCTCTCTCCATTCGAACTGGCCGGAAACTTCTTTCGCGCGCGCGATACTACGAGATAATAATTCGATCGAGTATTTCGATTATCCGTCGAGTTCGATCCACACGCGCACTTTTCGAAATCGTCACTGACATCCAATTTTAATCGGCGATCGGCGAAGATGTAAATAAGAGACGGTGGTAAATCCGACGGTGAGTCGTAGTGTGTAACGCGTTCGTCCAAGGACCGAAGAACGCAATCCAAATCCGTAAGTTCTGGTATCCTCGTTCCTCGAGATGACGGTTGATCGCGGTGTAGGAGGAGGCGGCGGTACAGTGACGGTGGCGCTGGCGATAACGATGGTAGTGTGCCGATGGTGGTGGTGGTAGTGACGAGAAACGGTCGGCTCGACAGTGGTGGTGGCAGAGTCGTCGCCGTAGTTCTTTTCCTTCCATGGAAAGGGGGACGATTTTTGCGAGATGGTTTGCCCTCGGTGAGACGGGTGGGAGGGTCCAGGCCGGCACGCCGCGCGGTGTGGTGGGGGAGCTGGTGCCACCTCTGCTGGTGGCTGATGATGCCACTACCGGCACCTCGTACCCACGCGAATTCGTACCGCACTCTACTAGTAGGCCGAGTATTCCGTGTACTTCTCTTCTCTCGAGTCAGGTCGGCATCTTCGTAGATCGGGCACGGAGCCGTACACCAGCGGTTAGCGTCGGCAAACGCGACAATAAAATATGGTGAGTCGCCCGTGGGGCCAGCTAACGCGCTCCCTGCCTACCCCCTCTCGCTCCGATTCCCGCTCTTCCCTCTCTTTCTCTCCTTTTCCTCTTTCTGTTTCTCCGTCTCTCTCTTTCTCCACGCGTACCGATCTCTTCTTCTCCCTCGATCGTACGCTCCTCGTCCCTCGTGACGCCCCACCGTCGCCGCTTTCTTCCCTCTTCGTTCGGCTTTCGTTTTGTGGAGGGGATGGGTGCTCGAGCCAGAGGGGGCGCAACCGGCCGAGATGCTGCCGTTGCCACCGTGTTCGGCTCTGGTGGGGTCAAGGGAGAGGTAGGTTGCGTTAGGAGGGGCGAGAAGAGGAGGCAGAAACTACACGACAATTTTAGTTCGATAGATCCTGAAGTTTAGCCTCGGCGGCGCTGCTTTACTTGCCGCTGACTTCTTCCCGGTAGTTTGTTCGCTGCCCTCTCTCCCGTTGCTGTTCGCTTCTCCACCTCTTTCTTGGACACGACCGCACACTCTCGCGTTTCCCCACCACCTCGATATTCCCACTCTCTTTCTTTCTCTTTCTCTCTCTTCTCCTTCACCGCGGCGATCGTCAACTACTTCGTGCCCCCTCGCTATACCTCTCGCCTCCACCTCCTCAGATCCTCCTCCTTGCTCCACACACAACGCGACACTTGACTACACAACTTTTCTCTCTTTCTCTCCAACTTTGACTCCGCGTTTGCTTTTCACTTCGATCTACTACTACTACCACCGCCACCGCCGCTGCCGCTGCCGTTGTTGCCGCCGCCACCGCCGCCGCCACCACGTCTCTCTCGCTCCACACTTATACAGCCAAACGCACGATCACCAGCTGACGAACGTATTACACGAGCACGTTTACGCGGCATAAACGCGTACCGGCAGTTTAATGCGCCGATGATGCGTGGATGTCCCATCGCGCGTTTCACCACCAATTGTCATCGGTTTTAGAAAGTCGCGATGACAAACGAGACGCTTTTCATCGGCCTGACTCGAGATTCTTTCCACGTAGCCACGGACGAATTTAAAAACTGATCCACGTCGAACGACAAGTTCTATCGAACGACTATCGCCCACCGAATCTCAACCATTCGTCCACCGTGGTACGCGAGTGCGGCAACGTGCCGACGATCACTAACAATATACAAGTTGACAACGGCGAGCGACGGATACGATGACGACAACGACGACTTCGGCCGTGGCATCGCGAAAGTGTGTTTTGCGCAGTTCTTTCAAGGGAACTCGCCTCCTCGCGCTTACTTGTCGCCCTCCTGGCGCGACCGCCGATCAAAGGGGCGGGTAGGGGCGGCTGTAGGTGGTGGATCGCGAGCATAGAGGTTGCGGGGGAGGACATTGGCTGGAACGGGTGGGGACAATCGAAGGGGACGATGTGGTTCGCGGGGTGGGTAAAAAGGTGCACTGACATTTTTCGCCGGCCGGCAGATTGCCGATATACACACCTACCTACGAGAGTACCTGCCAGCCAAGATATTTTTGCCGTTTCGTGGTGAAACTCACACGCTCGCGCTTACCCCTTCGCTTAAACGGATCTCTGTAGTGGTGTTCGCCGGTGCACAGGAGCAAGGGAGAGCGATGGCGAGAGAGAGAGCAAACTGGATAAATCGTCCCCTTCCACACTTCTTTCGTCTCCCCTCTAATACGCCACGGTGGGTGCGGAGCTCGGCTTTTTTCCCCTCCGTGGGCGCGGACTAACCTTGCCCCGCCTCTACCACCTTTCCCAGCCTTTCTCATCACCCCGCAGTGTGCGCAGCACGTTGAGCTACTACTTCGCGCTCTTGCTCGCCACGGCGACGTCGACGGAGGAACACGTTGCGGGACAGAGAGGCCCCCGCAAGCTGGAGCGAGATGGAAACACACGGGGAGGCACACCGAGACGTGAAACATTAGTGTACCGTTTGTTAACACCGCGGTCTACACATAGCCGCGCGCAACTCTCACTCCTCTCCTCGGTTCCTCCATACCCTTCTACCGGTGACTTCAAGAGGCCGCTACTATGCGTATACGCTTTGTAAGCTCGTGTGCAAGTGTATGGGTCAATATACGCGAGTGTCATTGCAGTGTGTGTTGGTAGAAGGTATATGCTCCTGCTCCACAGATTCTCCCTCTTTGTTTTACTCGCCATCATCTTCCACCCTCCTCTCTGTCTCTCTTCTTCTCTCTTCCGCTCTTTGACTCCACCTTAAAATCCCCTTCCCCGATCAGTTTCTATCCCTACATCGGTGACTTTCCGAGAATGCGACACCGAATTTGTCGACGGCACAGAACGTCGACGTTCCGCTACGACTACGCCCAAGCTAAGCCGCTGACCGATGTCGTCGCACATCGATTTTGGATTTCCCGTCTCCTCTGTGCGTGTGTTACGAGGATCAACCGTGCGTCTTCGGAATCGGGAATTAAGGAGCCAACAGGGAGTAATAGTGGCTTTGTATCGTGCTCCTCGCGCCATATCCTATACCGGTTACCAATAAATCCACCTACCGATGTACTCTCTCTTTCTCTCTCTTTCTCCCCCAGTGTCACGGAATTCTTGGTACAGGCTCGTTTTTAAACGCGTGTTACCACCGAGTCACGACGATTGCCTAACGAACGTCCAATTATCACATCCATGCATCGAGTGAGCCAACGTTTCGATTCGCATCGAAAATCGTATTACCGTTCGAACGATATTGCTACGTCTCTCGCCTGTTTCCCTTTCTTCCCGCGTGTGTCGCGTCGGAAGCCGGAATATCGATTACGAAACGGAATTAATCGTAATGGAGCAATTTGTAGCGAGTCGATTTACAAACGGCGGTATATCGGGGGTGTTTTATTATGACTGTGCGCACTATAGGTGTCTCCGCGCTTTGAATTACTAATGCCGTGGATCAACCAA